TCCCATAATTTCATAAAGGACATGCCCACTCTAATTACCAAAGTAACTTTAACAATAAAGCTGCCACGTTAAGAAAAGTCTGACTTCAAGGATAACGTATCACCCGCTGTACTGCATTGTACATAATGAGGCTTCTGATCCTGCTTCAGTCAAGAAAGCTGTGAGAAACTTTGAACGTCAGAAAAATCATCACCTTTAAACACAGATTAAATATCATGCAGCCCATGTTTTAAAAGACCTATACACCAAAGATAGAAAAAAAGGAATCCTAACCTCTGTCGAATGCCACGGGCTGAGCGAAAACCACTGGCCTGTTGAGGGTGATGAGAACAGCCTCTTTGTCAGTGGATCCACTGATTTCCTCCTGCAGAGCATTCCGCAGACCAATCCGAGTTTGGAAGTATGCCACTTGGTGGAAATCCGAGCCAGCTTCTTCATACACCTTTAAAGTGAAAGTGAGAAAAGGAATCAAATAGTCATCTATTATCGTAGGATCTACTGTACAATATAAAGCGTCTTGAGGCAACTGTTGTTGTGATTTAGCGCTATATAAATAAAATTGAATTGAATTGAATTGACTTCATCTGATACGATAAAGCACGGGATGAACGGGACCTGTTAAGAAGTGAGGATTCTGTGTCTGTATGCTGAGTAAGACGAACTGCTTGAGAATACGTGCAGGATTTCATTTGTACCTGGTGCTTGACAATCTGTCCAAGGGCTAGGTTGAGGTCAACTTGACATTTTCCAAAGAGTTTCAGGTAACTGCTGCTGCCTCCAGCCTGAGCCTTGCACTGGATTCTGTTGGACAGCTCGAGCTCAATCAGGCCCGTCTCAAAGCGCACGGCTCGCATGGAGGGAGTGGTTGCTGTCATCTGGATTCCCTGTGAACACGAAGACAACAATAAAATCTCCACAGAGAAAACTTGAACTGGTTTCATCCCTTCAAAACAACACAAAGCTTCTCCTAAAGAGAATAATTTTGCATTTCTGAAACAAACTGAACATCAGATACCTTGAACCTGAGGCTGAGAGAATAAAGCAGGATTTTGGGTTTGTCTGCATCTGTTGAGGTGTCGTGCTCATTCCAGAGTGGGATGGGTTGTTCTCCTCCTGGCAGAACAGAACACACACACACCTTACAGGTCACACACAAGCTGGATAAAACATAGCTGAATTGTGGCAATGTGGACCGGGGGCAGATGTGCAAGTATTAATCTGCTGTAGTCTTCAATTGCAGCTTTTCCTCTTTAATGTGCCTCCATCGTTATTCTTTTCTCTAAAATGGCAAAAAAAACAAAAACCTACCACTACTCTTTTTGTTGGGCAATTATATCAATCAAGCTTGGTGAGCTTAACAAAATACTATCAATAATGTGGAAATAAACAAGGGTGGATTTGTAGCAGTGCATCGGGCATTGATATTTGAGGAAAAACGATTTTTTAGCAACTTAAGCAGCAGCTGTAGGATACAGAATGCTGTGGGGGAAAGCCAGATGTCTGAGATTAGATTAACTTTATTGATCCAAGAGGAAAGCTCGGCTGCTGCAGCAGCACACAGAGGATACAGTACTGTAACGTGTTTGTGATTCTGGTAAGTCTCTAAAAATGTAAAAGATAATAATTAGAATAATAATGAAAAACCAGAAGGTTTACGTTACATTACCTGACACTTTCTGAATGACCTCGTTCACTTCCTTCATGAAAACCTTCTGCAGAAAGACCAGGTGGTTGAGCAGGTCTGTGGTCAGGTTGTGCTCAAAAGAGCCAATCTGTGCACGAGAGAGGACAGTGAACACAAAGATCAGTTAGATGTTACAAATAACAAAACTTTAAAGATTTAAAATGCAGATTGTAAATCAACAGGCCTTTAGTTAAAGCACCTGCTGCTATAACTTTTTTACCTCAGCTACACATCGCAGGTAGTTGCCCTGCAGGTAGTTTCCTTGTTTTGCTGGGAAGTCGTCTGGTGCCCAGCCCTGGTCTGAGTGACTATCGTGATCCTCCATGATGTACTCTCCCGACATTGTAACCGGCGGCAGCGTGAGGCTGGCTGATGGCGACATAGTGTGCTGGGACATGTCCACCGGGGACACTTTTGATTGGAAGCAAAGTTTGTGGTTCGGCAACTCAAACGTGAAACTGGTTTGTGCTCCTAAAGACAAGTTGGTGAGAGAAGGAATATCATGACTCATTAACCTCAGCAAATTGGTACAAAAGGCTGGGAGGAAAACGATTATTTTAAAAAAATATTGCAGTTTGTATCAGATATATTTTCACACACCCGTCATGCCGTGGCTCTTCATGCGGCCCATCTTGTACTCTGCTTTCAGTGATGGGAGCAGGGCTGCGCCAATGGTGATGCCATCCATCATGGCGCTGAACTTGAGGACAATGGGCTTCTTCTCCAGGCCTTCGGGAAGCTGAGGGAACTCGTTGGCCTCGACAGGGGTCTGGTTGATACTGGATGCTTTGTCAGAGGGTTGCGGGGTGGGGGTGTCCTCCCTATTAGGAGGTTGGCTGTTAAAAAAAACATAAAAACAATTACTCATGAGGTCAGGATTGCATGACTTTCTACTTTAGCCGCAACTTTGGCTTTTAAAGTATTACATAGCCTTAATCCCACTTACATCCATCAACTTCTTTACCGCCTTTTAAATCCCTTCTTAAACGTTCTTTTACTGCGAGCCGTTAATGAATGTTTGCTATGTGTTTATAAATGCCGCCTTGTTCCCCAATGCCGTGTTTGATTCTTTTTATAATCTCCTCTTGTTAATATTTCTGTTTTTCTTTCAGATGATTTAATTACTTCCATAGGATGAGACTTTGTTCAAAAGTGGAATACTGATAGAGTTTATGTTTATTATTATGTGTGCTGTGTTGTCAGGAGGGTCGCTGGCTGTGTGGGTTTCCTCCCACAGTCAGAAATGTCCATGTTAATTAAACTGATGATTCTAAATTGGCCGCCAGTGTGGGGGTAGATACAGTGCTTAAGTAGAAAGTAAAGTGTTTTATAAATGTGTGTGGAAATCACTGATTGGTCAGTGAGACTAGAAAAGTGCTACATAGTTACATGTTCAAGCGATGATGTAATATGTTAATGTCTGGACTGGATTTGGGAAGCAGCGCCTCCGATTTATCCACCCAGCCTTATGAGGTAAACTGCGTTGAAGGAAGCTGCACATGGAAAAGTCACTGCTAATGCTTTGATTCAGTTATGTGTGTGTTATTTTTCACAACTCTGCAGATACTGACTTCCATTCCAGCGAAAATCAAATTATAGACAAGTTCTTTAATACCCAAAGCACACCTACAACTCTATAAATATATTAACATAATTCAGCATATTACCATGGAAACAGACCACACACAGGTTTTAAAGGCGGGCGACAGTGTGGACCTGCTGTAGTAACGTGTCTGTTTAGTAGACATTACGAACTGAATGAGTAAACATTACACTTCAGAGACAGCACGTGTTGGATGGTGGATTCATTTATGGTTTCAAGTTGAGCACATTTTGAAATTGATTACTTTGAAGTGGGGAAAAAAAGCTGTGAGAAAAGCTGAATAGGTGAAGCAGACGTACGCATTAGAAGGCTGGCGGATGAGGTCGGAGATTTGCTTGGAGAGCTGATGGGAGCTGCGGACCATCATACTGTGCAGCGTAGCCGGGTGTTGGGGAATGTTGATCATGATGGCCCCCACTTTGAAGACAGCAGCGTTGTTGGTCTTCAGACCCCGCTGGGCGCTGTACAAGGCCTGAGACTTGGCGATGTTGCATTTGACCACCGTTCTGTAAACACAGAGGAAGCCGGAATAAGCAGCGGAGCAAAAAAAACTCAATCATAGAGAAGACGTAGACTTATGAATGAAGGTGGGGTTAGACACCAAACAGTGAAACACCATGCACATTCAGGACTGCAATTATTTGTGTGCGCATTTTTGGTTTTTGGTTTTTTTAGGGACGTAATGAGCGGTTATGGTAGTGACGCTATGAATGAATAACAAAGAATGTACGGTCTGCAAGCCTGGCTGGCTCAGCTAAAGGAAAATGATATTGTGTGGACTAAATATTAACAGACTGCAGATTTTTATCAGATTGATGACATTAGAAGAGAACATGGATGCTGTAAACAAATACAAGAAAGTTGAATAGATAATGAGACACCATTTTTTGGCTTCAGCGTCTCAAAAATTTAGTTTTTCTGCTTCTCACTGGTACAAAGAGATACTGCACTGACTCGCTTTTATTTTTCTGACATTTTATAGGAAAAAAAGTGAGATGAGAAAGAAATCAGATGATTTTATGTTTTGGGGAAGAAGAAAAAAAGTCAGCAACAATAATCCACAGGTGGCAGTTGCTTCATTTACACAAACTTAATGGGGACAGATCATTGTAAATGCTCACTGAAAACAGATGTGGTAAACAGGTGACTGAAACAAATGATGGATGTACATTTAAGGAAGTTATGCTTTTGGTTTAATGAGTCCCCTAAAATGCAGCATAAACATACAGAAACTCTTGTTTAGCAGTGCTGGTGGGAGATGTTGGGAAATCCTCCAGTCTAGGCAAGTAGTTGGAAGAGAAAGCAAATTAAAAAGAAGAAGAAGAAGAAGAAAGTGTAAAATAATTTGAGAAACTTGAAGGTCAGAGCAATTTTTCACATTAAATGTACTGTTAAAATGTTTTAGAAGTTCAGACGTTATTTATGATAAGGCTCTGGATTAACAAAGCAGTTAAAACACAAAGATGAGCTCAGGCAGCTCAGAGAACCACAGCTGAACATACTCGTAATTAAACTGCATCTAGGAGGCAACACTAAAACAACAACTTCTGACAAGCCACTGATATGTCAGACACCATTGTTTTGTTTTACTTCTGCACTGGGACCTGCTGTCTTCGCACACTGTTTTTGCTTGAGTCAAAAGGACAAGAGCCAAAATAAGCAATCACAGTAACAACTCGAGAATGCTACTGTCTTGGCCACATAAATTTAAAAACAGGCAGAGTGTGCAGGTACATTATGGAAACAGTCTTAGGTCTCAGTTTTATTTTCACAGTGGGAGGATTTCTTAAGTAAGCCATCTATTTATGTAATAAACTGAATCAAAACAGTGTGGAGACACGCTGGCCTGTCTAAAAGCATAAATACAAGGCTTGCAACCTGATTAGGTTGGCTACCTTTTGAGGAAATTGCTTGCAGTAAAAAGAAAACATAATAAAATTAACTGGCTGGACAGGAGCCTGTAAATAGTTCTCACTGAGCACTAACACAACCATGTTTTAGAGGGCTTTTAAAGGTGTTTATGGAGTTTATACTTAAACACTCAATCAACTGTTTTGATAAGAGTACATTTTGCAAAAGTTGTTCACTTTACAAAATTGTGATTAAGAATTAAAAAAACGACACATTTTTAAAGAAAACATTCAAACTAATAGAAAAGAAAAACACTACCACCTGCTGAATTATTAAAAAAGAAAAAAAAAACATTACAATGAGAGAGAGTGAGGATCAATACAGTTAAGATCAGACAGGAACAAAGCACTTCGATTAAAACGCTTGGTTTCTTTTTAAATAGCTGCTAAAATATTTAATCGACAGACTGAACAGAAGGAAAGTTTGCACGTACTGAATGTCAGGAGTTATCCCCTCCAGCAGAACGATGTTTACCCCTCCTATGTGAGCCGATGCGCACGTCTCTGTCATTTTCTGGTGCAGAATATCTGCAGGCACAACAACACCAAAAAAGAGATCAGATCAAACAAACCAAACTTCTACTGACCAGGAACTTCCCTTTTTTTGCACACCTGCATCGATCTACTTTGGGACTTTCTAAAGTTTCATATCGGATCTTTCCTACCATAAAAAAAGATGGAAAAATCATTATCTCTGTCAAAATCCCTGCCTAACCTTTCATCTTCTCCTTCAGGGTGAAACTTCCATGTATCTTCTTCAGTTCTGCTTCCATGGTCAGCCCGCCGATGTCCGCCTCCAGGTGTGTGCGGTTCACCATGCCGATGCCGAACACGATGAGCGTGACGTGCTGAGGCTCGGAGTTCACAAGGCTGCGTCGCCTTCCACCCGCACCGGGAGGCTTGCTGGGCGTGTTGGGGTCCTGCTGCTCATTCTCAAATATCACTTTACAGAACGGCTCTGAGGTGTGACGTCCCGTCTCTGTGAATTTAGATTTACACGTTACATTAAAAACTGCTTCTGTACTTTCACTTATAAAATCGGTGATGACAGATGCACCACTTTTTTTTTATTTTTTATTAAATTGGGAAAGTTTATCCTCCCACTCCGAAGGAATGGTCACTACTTCATAGCCTCCTCTGTTACAGCAGTAAAATATTCTAGTAGGATAAACTGAAATAGGCGTGTCACAAACAGGAGAAATGAATGAAAAGGTGTTTATAAAACAGTGATCATGAAGGAAGTCAGTCAGATTTGCAGAGCATAGTGTGCAGATTATAAGACAGTAACAACCTCTAAAAATAAAGTGAAGAGTAAAGCATAATGAAAAATACACAGTTAAGCTAAACAACTGAAATGTGGAATTGGATGTGTGCTGGAAGCTTTTTTCCACCTGAAAGGCCGTTCTCCGGGGAGCTTTTCTCCAGGATGCCAGTGGGATCGGAGATGAGGGAGTAGAAGTTGAGCAGCTTGTACATGTTCTGCCAACATTCTGCTGATGGCTCGCTCTGCTCTGACACTGTGATGGAGTCCGAGTCATCCATCTGGATCGCCATGTGGTCGGCCACGTCACGGGACCCTTTCCGTGACACCTGAGGGCATTACGCAATATTCCAGATTATGAAACAGAAAGTAGACGTGCCACAATATGCATCGTGGGGCTGAAGGGTAAATAAACAGGCCTGCTGACTCATTCCTTATTTTATTACCCCGTTGTTTACTCTGACAGTATAGTTATGATGCAGTAAGCTGTCACGACAGAGCCACTTAATGAAAGCTAAAAACAGACACTTGTGAAATAAGTGTCAGGGAGGTGACTCAGTTATTTCAGGAGAGTTCCCTAAGAGGGGAAAATACTTCAAATGTATCTCATACATCATTTACTTTAATAAAAATCTAATTTAAAAAGTGCTTAGCGCCTCAAACTTCAAAGCTCATATTCCAACTTCTGAAACAAAAGAACTTTCACCAAGTCAAACATGTTTGCAAGAAGATTTCTAAAGTTGAAAACTTTTTTTGAAAACAAAAAAATATTTCTTACTGAAACATCACAGATGTGTTTAAGATACTACTGTCTGTTCTGAGAAAATCCTATAATCTTCTGGCTCCCTCTAGGGTTTGTGTGGAGGAAATGTCAGCTGCTGAGTGAATTTAGTGATTCTACTGGTCTGGACAGGTGCGCCTCACAGAGCCGTTGAACAGGCACAAGAGGTTTTCATTTAATTTCATCACAGCCATTTACAGTTACTGCGCAAAGTCTTCATTATGTTTGGCTCCTCAAAATATACGCATTACTTCCTCTCCATTGTGATATTTTCCCATCTTGTCCTGTCATTATCATCGTTACCTTGGAGGTGCGTCTTTCTGAGCGTCCGAGGGAGCTGCGTCCTCTCGGCTCCCTTCTTCCCAGCGTGTCCATACCCGATGGAGGTCCGTTTGGAGGTAAACCACCAGCATTTGCGGCTCCCCCTCCTGATCCTCCCCCTCCACCCACTCCTCTCTTGCTCTTCAGAGTCTGGGTTCCGCTGCGGCCCGCCCCATTCAGGCTTCCACGGGAGCTGCGGCTGAAGTCCGACGACCTGAAGTGGCGATACGGCCGGGCCTTGAAGGTGGGTGTCGGGGAGGCCGAGCCGGCGGTGTAGCGGCTCAGCTTGATGTCGGTCTGCGTGGCCTTGATATCATCGATCATGGTGCTGAACTGGTGGATGAGGCGCACCAGGGCCATGTCGACGCGCTGGCTGATGGCCTGGCAGGCTGTAGTGAAGTCACAGTGGAATGTATTGTAGTGGCGGCGGTTGAGGTCGTGGAAGGAGAGCGGGGCTGCGGTGGGGCCCTGAGGAGCGCTGGTTGACTTCTCCATCACCACGGCATTCACACTGAAAGTCTCAATCAGCAACGCTGGCTTGAACTCAAGGGGAGGCAGGTTCACCATGCCTTGCCTTAATATAGAAGAAGCACAAAGGGTTAGCAGATAATTTCATTAAGAGAAGAAACCAAGGAAAAAGGCTTAAAAAGCCAAAAAGCAGGGATGGGTAATGCAACATGTGCCTGTCGTGTTTTAGGACAGTTTTACCTCCTGGATCGCTTGTTTTTGCGCTCCTTGGTGGTATCAGAGTCGGCAATGTCTGCTCTGAGGCACTCGAGGTTGCCGGAAAAAGACAGGTGCTCTCCAAAATACATCTTATAGCTAAGCGGAGTGGTATCTTGGGCCTGGATGCCTGTGTAGCTCAGTAAAGGCTTAAAAACAACCTGAGGGGATGAAAACAGACGATCAACGCACAGAAAAGAAGATATTTTTGTAGACACTTAACTAAAAGCTTTCTATCCGTCTGACATCTGCGTATGAAATTAAAATAAAACGGTGAAATAAGGAAATGGAAAGCCCAATGAATGCCGAACGGTATGAGACAGGTGACATTTATATTAGCACAGAATGATTCCTTATCAACAGACCCGCTCGATATTCAGCTTTTTCTAACTCGATAAACAAATCGGACTAATTGCAAATCAGTGTGAATTAGCTTTTATCTGCTTTAACGGCATCAACATAAAAAAGCCTAATTTAAAAACCAATTTCTGAACCAGTTCTAAAACTTATCAGTGAGCAGCAGATATCACACAAACTACCTGACTAATTCATGTCTAATTATAAAGTGTAAAAACAGATTTAGAGACAAACCTGAGCATCAGCCAGCTGAACAGCAGCTGGACACTGGTTCCCCTCTTCAATGTCGGCCATGTCGTCCTGGCTCGTGCTGTGCTGGGAATGCTGGGAGTGGGTCCCATCGAGGGTGTTCTGGTCACTGGACAGCACTGTGTTGAAATCTGAGGCCGAAGGGATGGTGGGCAGGTTACACGTCCCACCTGAGGGTGTTTAACGTGGTTTAGGATCCACGTGGATTAAGAAAAGGTGGCACACGTACAAGCAGCAGTGAGAGAGCAGAGCACTTTACCACTCCAGCTCCTCATAAAAAACATGTTGGAAAGAATTACACAGACAGCAAGAGAGAACGTTAAGTGGAACTTTACAGCCATTTAATGCACAATTTGCAACTGTAAACAGCCACATCACACTTACTTAATTTGTTTGTGAGAAACTGCTGCAGCTAATTTGCTGTGCTGTCATTGGCTCACACTTGGGTGACTACATAACGACGAACTTAATCATCTTTGGCACAAATCCGATCATTACACACTTACAAATGTATCCACAATTGCGAAGGTAACAAATGTTTTTCAGTCATTTGCATGGCTGATTCCAAGTAATAAACTGCTATTAAGAGAGAGTGAAACAAAATGCAGAGTGCTGCAGTTTGTAGCTTAGAAGATGAGTGGGAGTACAGGGTAACAGAGCGAGGGATAGAGCGGTGTTGTGAGGAATAAGAGAAATTTCAGGTCACTAAACTGAGAGTGTGTTTTGCAGGAAAGTACCAGTGAGGAAACAACATGAGCTTTTCTTACACAGCTTCACGCTGAGAGAGGCTAACAGGCTACCACATGACTTGAGGTGTATAGACTTCAAGACTCACAAAACAAAAAGGAGACCTAGTACCACATAAAAATAGATTAGTAATAATAATCCTTTAATTGTCCCACAAGGAGAAATTTGGTCTTTGCAATGTGAAGGTTTTGAAAATACCTGAAATAGCACCAGTGGTACAGGTAAAAAGACAAGACACACTGGAGGCAAAGCGTCTGTCTGTATCTTATATATATAACTGTTATACGGGTTCATCTTGGCACACCTGGATTACAGCCCCTTATCTACCCGAACAGAGGCATCGTTACATCCTTCCTCAGTAAAAATCTTTACTCCGGCTCCTACTACATCCATCAGAGGACGCTTTTTAGTCGCATCACTGACATTTCAGTCCTACATGTGTTCTGCACTTTGAGACACTGATGAATTCACACTGACCAAGTGGATGTTGCATGCCCAGGCAGCATTTTAATCTAAACCACACAGAGCATTTCCAGTAGTGAGAACACTTGACTTGGATATCTGTTTTGTACTACATGTAAGAAATGGCAACAGGGGCCTGGGCCCCGCCTTGTTTTTCTGATACGATCCAGAATTCAGGTGTGAGAACAGTTTGAGAGGCTTATAAGAACAAGACTAAACACAAGAAGAGACTAGCATGATGAATTTAAATTAATCACTCTAATTGGTGGGAATTCACAACTTTGGAGAGGCAAGGGACAGTAAAGCCTGATGGAGTTTTTAAGAGAACAACGACTCGTTCATATAAGATCATGGAGGCCATGTCTTCCACCCTCATCCAAATATAGGTCACATCTGGCTTAAAAAAAAAAAAAGACAAAACAAAACAAAACAAAAACAAAAAAAACAAACAGCCAGAAATTCAGAGCTGAGGCTTCAGAAACTGTGTAGAGCCTTTTCTCATTTCATTTTAGTCTCCAATAGCATGCCATACTTTTGTAAAACAAACTGGTTTCTGTCTTCTTTTTTTTTATGAATTTTGCAGACTTTTGTGCTAATTTTGCAAATCGTGCAAAACAAAAAGGGGATGCAATTTCCAATTTTCTTTCATTGCAATAAATCAAAAATATCTCTCTAGTATATATGAAGGTGGTCTGGATGGCTAACAAACTAATGGGGGGAAATCACAAACTAGCTGCTAGTCAGCTAATTAGTTCAACAACACCATCAGCACAGCACTCAGTGACTACTTAGCCCTGACCTCCTTCTGGACTGTTATCTGGCAGCGGTTGGTACTGGTAGCAGGGGTTGACAGAAGAACCCAGTGAGGCTACTGAAACAACATTACAGAAAACTTTGAACTGTTACCGCAAGAGTGAATAATTGTTTTATCTATTCCAATATCATCATAACAAAAATGCATAAAATAGAGCATTATATAGCAAAACAAAATCATCCTCTATTAAGCTCATTGTGTCTCACCTGTCTGTAGACTGTTGTGCTGGGAGCGGTTGACCGGAGACTCCTGGACTCCAGCCCCCGTCTTGTTGCTCACAGCGTTGGACATCCAGTTGTAAAAGCTGACAGAGGAGGGCTCCGACAGCAGCGGGTGCTCAGTCAGCATGTCTGTCCCTAAACAAGGAGAGATTGAGAGTATATTGCATCACGGAACAGACTACAAAAACCTCGACAGTACACTTGGATTGACTGCTGTTCATGCATAATTCATCTTTTACAGTCAGCACGTGGATAATGCGTATAAGGAGGTGTTTCCACAATGTTCCCACTTTCACACCTTAAAAACATATTCTAATCTATTTTTTACAGCTTTTATTTCTCATCTTTGTCCTTCTTGGGTTTAAGTGCAAATCTCTCTCTCTACATATTTGTTCACAGTGAGCTGGTGGCGGATTTAAGAGCACGCTGCAGTTTATTCATTACTGACATTGCTGAACAGCAGAGGTCACTGTTGGAACAGAAATGCAACTAGATTGTTTGAAGCTGTGATGAAAATCAAGTTCAAGCTAATGATCGACTTTTACCAGAACCTTCCCCATACTGCAGTTAGCAGCGGTGCAACAAAATAGCAGTCGAGTGCGAGCACCTGTGCGAGTGAGCGAGCTGCTCTTGGTTGCGGTGGCGGCAGACGGCTCGTTCCTCTGGGGCGTGCCCTCCAGCAGATTGTGCAGACTCCGAAAGCTGCCCGTCAGGTTGCTCAGAAGGCTCTCCTTCCTGGGGCTGTCCTTGGCTGGCAGGCCTGCGCGGCTCACATGGGCGGGTGAGTCAGCTGCTGTGTCACCACTGGTGTAGCTCAGCGACTGGTAGGGATGCGAACCCTGGGTATGACAAATGTACAGATTGCTGAGAGGAGTTTGTGTTCACACTATATAATTTTTTCCTCAAGCTGCCAGAGCCCGTTCTAGTTCAGCGACAGGTGGGATAAACTTCGTCTGGCAACATTATGAACATGGCTGAACCTAAAGCTGAGGTAATACTTTTTAGACAAAAGAGCCGAGTTGTCTAAAAAAGAAAAAAAATACTGTATAAACACATCACACTTTAATTTAGGAGAGAGGAAAATGTCACCTCGTCACTCAGTGTTAAGCTCTAATCCCTCCTGGCTTTCCAAAAGCAGAATCACCTTCATACCACAGTCAAGACAGCACAATCAGTCTGCAGTGGAGAGCTACTACCTTTGCAAAGTGTTTATGTAAACCAGACTATCATTATGAAACCTTGGGTTTTGAAATGTCAGAAAAAATAAAACCAAAAAACAATGACTCTCTTCAGAGAGTCATTGAATCTCTCACGACAACCTAAAATTCCTCATTTCATCCAACCGACAATCCAAACGTGTGACATCCACAATCTCTGAAGATTTTTTTTAATTACAAGAAAGTACATCCATCTGTTGTGCATCGTCCATCTTTACAGCCTGCATTGTATACGAATGCATGACATAAAACCGAAACTCATACCTTTATTCTGAGCACAGACTCGTTGTGTGTATGCGACTTGGAAAGTTTCCTCATGATCTCCACTCCGCTCACAGGCCCAGAGTTGGCTTCCTTCGGTGGGGGGCGGCTGCATGCTACCTCCAGCAACATCGTGTGTTCACTCACTGTGGCTTAAAAATAACAACACAAAATAAAACTCTGAAAAAAAAAATCCTTTAAAGAGGTTGAACAGTCTGTCACTCAACCCCAGAGCTCCTTTCAGCAAACTAGTGGTATCAGTCTATAACACATCTTTGCAAACACTGACAAAGTAAAGGTCAAGAGTTTCACAGCCCATCTGTGGCAACAGATGGGTGCCTCACAATATTATTAGCACTGTGAAAGCTGTAGTTTCCCACCTGCATCGAATTCAAATTCAGCTCCATCCGCGCTGGTGTCACTCTGCAGAGCAGCTCCATTGTCCAGTCCCAAAATTGTGTCACCCTCGTTCTGCTGAGGCTCCTTGGGTTTGGTAAGCTGGTTGGGCCTCATCAGACCAATAGCCTTGAAACCCTGAGTTACCACGATGAATTTCATCCACTGCCTGGCCAATGCTACCAAACCTTTCTTTAGAGTGACCAGGGCTGGAACCCCATCATTCTGGGGTAAAAGGAGAGGAGAGATCAGCGCCACTGTTTCACACTGACAACAGATTCATTTAAATAATGCAGAGAAGACAAGAGAAAAGAGACGTTTGAGGCTACACTACACATGATCATGTTATGATCCTGCAGCAGTGCAACAGAAGAGAAGGGCTCGTACTAACCATAGTAGCTTCCTCTATGACGGAGTAGTCAGCTTGTTGCAGGTAGCGGTGCAGGATGTTACAAAGCATGCAGGAGGGGTTCTCGTGGAGGTAGCGGGCTCGTTTGGTCACGCGGTTGTACTTGCTCCTGATCGGGATGTGGATGCTCTTTTTCTGTTGGGGATTGAGAAATAAATAAAAGGCATCTGTTGCTGGGAATTATAACTGTTTTAAATGTTTTTTCCATTATATTAAGCTCACTTAAGAAAATGTTTTGAAATAGCAATTCAACCAGGAGACCCTACACTCCTGATGTATACACATATGTGCTCCTAACCTCCAGAGCCTCGGTCATGATGCAGCCCATGACTGCACAAACACGTAGCGTGCCCTCCATGTCCAGTTTCCGAAGTGATGATTTGAGCTGGTCAATGGGAACCAACCAGGCGCCAATGGCAGGTGTGGCTGTGCTGAGAAGATTCAACTGCCTATAAACACACACAGACACAACAGTCACCTTAATAACCACTGCTCATTACAACCAAAAATATAATCAGACTTCTGCAAAGTTTATAGGTTAAAAGGCACTGCATTTAAATTAATATGCCTGCAACTGCAAGTGGTTAAGAATTGCTTTGTTTCTTTATTTTCTAGTGCAGATGCCAAGCACAGTAGGCTAAATAATGAGGAAATTCACAACTCAACTTAAAACTAAAAGAGAATGACTAATCAGCTTATCGTGCTTCAGACAGACGATGATGAAAAGTGGCTGACGTAAAGAAAAGTGCTGGTGTGATTTTAATACAGCTTTTCTGTACAGTGTATAGTCATACAGGCATCACAGAGCCCTACCTGGAGATGGCCTGTGAGGCGGACCGCACATTGGTGGGAGCAGCAAAACTGAACCAGATCTCTCTAATGGTCAGTTTCATGCTGCTGGAGTCAGGCGGTGGGGGCATGAGAGGAAGGTCTTTCTTCAGGTCGTCTGATTCAACCCCTTCGTCCTGCAGAGCAGAAGTGAAGAGGATTTAACAGGAGGTAATGGATTTATGGCTCTCCTCCGTGTAGAGCTCCATTTCCTATCACAGATCATTTTTCAGATTCAATAAAATGTATGCAAGGTTGTTGTATCTTTTTTTTTCTCGTGGGTGAGAAATAAGTTTGACTTTTTTTTTTTTGCACATATCTGAACATTAATTTTATTGTTTTAACTTTCATGTGAGCAAAACAAATCTGAATCAGACTGTTGTCCATTAAAGACAGCAGAGCTTTTGCACTTTTTTATGACACTGTTAGCTTGTTGCCTAGTTGTTCAGGATAAATTCTATAGTGATGACACATATCCTGCGAGGAATATGGAAATGAACACTTATCTGACTTTGATTCGGAGCATTAAAATGATTCTGACTGAAATCTATTTTCAGAAATAAAGCCCCCGTGAGGAACCTGCACAGTGCTCCACTCCCTCTTCATCACGAGCGTGGGGGACAAACTGTAGATACATGTTTATCACAGCATTTGTTTGTTCCTGCGAGTCTTCCATAAGAAACGGTGCAACAGGATCCTACTGTTTGCTTTTTTTGGTTTATTTTTTTGCCAGATCGGAGCTGATGGCACTGCAAAACAGTGTTTGATTCTGAAGCAAAGTCAGACTGATGCGTTTTTTGCCAGCTTCACTCGCTTTTCGGTCCTCGGGCTGTTTCATGCTTCTGCAGAAAAATTTAAGCATCACATCTGGAAACACCTGTCAGCTGTGAAAATTCTGCCTGCCTGCTCAAGCAAGATGAACATGTTGTGTCTTGCTGTTTCTCACACTTCTGCCTTTTAGATGAATATCTCACTTCTTCAGTAACCTCATCTTTTCAATGCAGCTGCCCTTCAACCCCCTTACAAATGCATTATTGTTACAGTTTATGATTTTGGTTAAACTTCCTGTTACGCTGTTTATTACCAGAACCACTTTGGTATCACTCTTTATTGTGCAGTGGCCTATATCTTACTGTCATGGCAATTAGTCGTTTCACCCTAACCAAAAAGCCATCAGAGTTATGCTCATTTTTTTAGCCACTTCACAGGTTAGAAGACTTTCTGGTTTCTCACCTGGTCGTCTGAGTCTGAGTGCTCATTAACATCAGAGGCTGGACTGACAGCATCATGTGGGAGGTTGTCATCAGACATATCAGTACTATAACCGCTTCCTGTCTGAGAGCCGGTTGAACCGTTGGACTTTGACATTCCTGTCTTCCCTCCTGCGTCTGAGCGCCCCATCACACCGAACGCATTGTAAAGAATAGCTCCTGACTGACGGCCCCCTGCAAAACAAGTGTAACACATTTATAAATGGCTACAGAAAAGCCGTCATCTAAATCAGAATATTCAGATTCCCAGGAGCAAACTTAGTCAGGATATATGTTTAAGGAGCCTGCATTGACTTACCTTTGACTGTGAGATTCTCAATGCCACATTCAAACATGATCCAGCCCCATTTCTCCAGAGATGCGGCAGAACGGCCCAGATCGCCTGCTGTTGCCTGGGCATCAGTTTCATCCACCAGTGAAAACTCCTCCATTTCCTCCAGGCCAAAGAGAACTTTGGACTTCTCAAAAGGAATTGCTGTGATAGCACATGTGCCAATATCTACAGCTGAAGAAGAAGTAACACAACTATTAGAAAATGCTACAAACCTTATAAAAACAACATGTGCTAAAATCCAGCGAATCTTGATAGCGAAGGTCAAATAAGAGCAAATCTTTCCACATCGTTACACAGCGTTGTAACAAAGAGGTTGGAGTGATGTTCAAATAAGACTTCGGTTCTGCAAAGCCAACCTGTGGAGTCCAGGCCTCGGAGCTGGCTGTGGATTCGGTGGATATTAAGTCTTGCAGCAATCTCTTTGCCTTTCTCGATGCCAGCGTTGGAGCGCAAAGAGCCCGAAGACTGAGGCTGCATCTTAGTGGCTGAAGCGTACTTCTCAAACATGACAGAGGGTCGGCCGTGCTCTGTGGTGTTGGGAGTCTCTTCTACAATTCCCCTGAAAGCAGCAGCGGAAAATGTGCATGTTAAAAATCTTTATAATGTAAATTTAGTTGATTTCATACTCTGCACATCTCCTGTTTTCAATCAAACAAAAAAATCTGAATTAGGTTGAATTCTTAAATCTTACTGACCTAGCACTCCTAAAAAATATATACATTTAAAAAAAAAAAAAAAAAAGCAATCCAACAACCAAACGTGATGGAGTGTGTCAAACCGAGCGTGTCAAACGAGGATATTTGCCCCGGGCATACACACTCCAAAAAGCTTAGTCACTGTAAGACTGTAAGCACACAAACACATACAATGTCATGACAAGAGCTGGAGGCATTACCTGTTCATCCTGAACTGGGTGGCAATCCTGTCAAAGCATAGTGCCACTAGAGACACATGTGTGACACTCTTACTGGAGCAAGATGGTGACCCTTCCTCTACAGAGGCCTGCAGGAGGCAAAGGTTCACCTGCACATAAAAGACAACAAGAGAAAGAAACACAAATCCAACTTGAAGTTAAATGCTGTGTGGGAAAAACATTGCTCTTCAAAATCAAACATTCAGAAATACTTGTGTCCAGAATAACAAGACAAAGTATGATAGTACTGGTAGTCATTTAAGTAGTCATACACATTCCATTCAGAGGAATTGTAAAATGCTTGTATAATCTAATGGCGTCTGAAACTTCGGAAAGGGCCATGTTTCCAAATCTATAGCTCCACAGTAAAATGAAAATAATAAACAAGCAGCTAAATAACACTAAGCTGTTATTAAAATACTCCACACTAAATCAGAAACTACTGCATATTCATTGTTTCAGTATAAAGGGATCTGCAGTAGTGCTCATGATTCTGTGCTTGCTCCGAACCCCTTGTGGCTAGAGCATATTTTTTAGGACAGCCACTGGCCTCTCATTATTCTGGGTCACAGGTCTCACCTTGGGGATGGACACGTTGGCTTGGAGGCCCTTGATTTTCACATTATCTGGTTTGACGGACAGGTCTGTCTGGCCATGGGAGATGTTTAGGGAACCAGGGGTCGTGCCCTCCGTCTTGGACAGCTTATGCTCCTGCTTGCCTGTTTGGCTCTGTGCGGATCCAGACCCAAAATAGAGGGACAAGAGTCAACAGGCAATAAACCCCGCTTCTACTCACTTTTAAGCTAAGGCAGAGATTTTATTAAATCTCTCAACATTTTAAATGTTAAGCTGTTGTTGCTCTGCGCTGTGACTTGCTGTACTTACAGACTCAGTGACGGTAGATTTGCTGATCTGATAGGCTTCATTGAGGACTTTCCCGTGCAGGTCATCCAGAATCGCTGCTGGGTGTCGGATGCTTGCAAAGTGGGCCATGGACTCGATGTACCTGAAACAAACCAAGTACACAGAGCTATTAGAAAACTTCTAGTTTTATAGAAAGAGTTGGTACAAGTTTTATCTATCTGCAAAAAACTGTAAAGGCTCCAAACTGAACAAGTGATTAATGTCTTTTAGAACATTTCCAACCCAGTGCTGCTGGCCTCTGGCAAACTAAAGATTCCCACTGCTAAACAATCAAGAAAAGAACCAGACTCTGAAGCTCTGTCAGCAGAATTTTAGATCCAAGTTTCATTGTGCAGAGGGATTAAACTGGCTTAAGGTCAAATCTTAGCCTCAGGCTAAAAATAACCGGAAACTAAGAAAGTGCAGTGTGAGAAAGAGTTTTTTGGCAGTCATGAGATTATCTTTATAATCTGGTTTTTCAAACCAGTATTAAAAACCCATTTCTAAAGGAGATGTGGCTAATGAGGCAGCCTGACAACAGAAATGTTCCAGGCCAGCTAACTCTGTCTGATAAGCGTCGTAACTACCTGTCCAGGGATTCAGCCACAAGAGGTGTGAGCACCACGTTGATGGCTCCTTTCACCTCCACAATGGCAGTGGTTCTGGTCTGAGCTAGGGGCTGCTCCAGAGACCAGTCATCTGTGGTTGTGTCCTCATCTGTGTTCTCCATGGCCCTCTTATCCAGGGGTGTATACGGGGTACTGTAGAGATATGAAGAAAGCTTAAAGCAAACATAGAAGAAGCTGCAACCTCAAAGGACTGCAACTTGTGTGTTGTAGAGTATAATTAGTAATGGTGGCTGACACATTACTGGCTGATAAAAAGAAAACAATGCCATGAAGCTGAGCGGCAATACAGTAACTTCATAATTAAAAGTTATTGGAAAAATCTATGATTTTAAAGCAAAAAAACAAAAAAAAAACAAACAAAAAAAAAAAACAGCCCACACTTTCTAATGAGAATTTTTCAACTGGAAGTGATAATGATGAAGGTCAAATACCTGTTGTTCTCACCCATCAGCTGAACACCTCTGTCTAACAGCGAGCTGGCTGAGAGGCCGTGCTTTATTACCTGTAATGTATAAGAAACAGGCCCATTCTTAAACTGATGGTCTGAGTGAATAATGGACATAGAGGCACAATGCCAGCATTAACAGCATTACAGAGGAAATAATACATGTGGACTGAGTCAGTAATCTCACTACATGAAGACTAATACTATTAAGATAAAGACCTTAAAGCTTGGGATGGAGAGCTGGTCAAAAGAGCCAGAGCTCTCCTCGCTGGTAGGCGTGTCCAGATCAAGGGGGCGATGCAGCGAAGACTTTGAGGTTCTTTTATTGGTGGGTTGTTTGACAGACCAATTTGAGACCTAGCAGAGGTAAAGTTAAATATAGGGATAATAATCAAATCATAATGTCAGGCTATAGATGAACAAAATTTCCATCAGGGGTGTAATGCTAAAGAATTTACCTGGTAGTGGGCTAGGTAGTTCTGGTAACACGCCATGACATGAGGCTGTCGAGTTACCGGGCCCGGTTCCGCCATCTTTTCTGCCTCCACTGAGCTTTCCTCCTCCATTGCCAGGGCTGAGACAAAGGAGGCCTGAGATGTGTGGCTGGGCAGGGGCTGAGGCGGCAGTGGAGGGAGTGTAGGAGGCATCGGCAGAGGACGTGGTTCAGTGATCAGCTCCCCATTGAGAACGTACGTGAGGGGACCCTCAACACTGTGGTAGATGGAGCTTCGGCTGTGGCAGGACAAAATATGAATAAAAAGGACTCAATTAATTTGTCAAGTGATTAAAAAAATGTCAGTGTTTTGGTGCAAAACGGTCTTTCATTTCATCTAAAAGCAAAAATCCTTTGAAAGCTTAGTTGTGAACCAAAATGTTGAGAACGTCCGTGTGCAGTTTTATGCTCTTGAATTCAGCTTTATGCTTTCATAGTTTCCACGAGTGAAACTTTTCACGAGAGCGAATCGATTATTTTTGTTTTCGTGGACGCTGTATCAATCAAAAAAGCGTGCTGAAATCAATGCGAGGGCAATTTATGGCAGCAGAGAAATGAGGAGGTAGTTTCAGAACGAGAGCGAAATCCAATTTGCGAAACATACCTGCAGTGAGTGGCTGCCGTGGATCAAACATCTCATTTGTTCAAATCCCCTCCATGACGTTCAGCCGTGCATGCATGATTGAATCGCAGTAATAAAATAAAGCTGCACCGTATTTAGCTTCAGGCCAAGTTGCTTTACACATTGATATTTGCAACTAGTTTGGTATTAAAGATAAAAATTGCATAACACGGTTCAAGTATTCTAACTCATAGCTGAATCGAGCCATTTTACAATCATTGTAAAGATTGAAGGTCTTCTAGTTACTTGTTTTTAAAAGGTCTCTGAATTTGCTTCCAACTCCAGCTACCTTCAAACTTCAAGTGAAACCACTCATTCTCTTGGTGTATTTCAACAGAGTTTGAATCTTAACATGTACAATATATATTAAAACAAATTCTTTACAACTGCTCATTATTATTATTTAAAAGGGGCAGCACTTTGGAAGAAATGCAGCAAGGTCAGAACTTTTCTAGACAGGTCATTAATTCATCTGCTCTTAGAGAGGAGAAATGAGAGACTCTTTGATGTTACTGTGAGCTGTCTTCAGTCTACCATCTCCTTAATCCCCATGCTTAACCTTGTACATGATCTGACCATGCTCTCGCTCTCAAATTTTCAAACTCTTTAACTTTGAGAACTTTTGCAAGCTTCCCTGGGGCTTAGCGACATTTGGAGAATATTGCACGCTCCATTTTCTAAAGTATGTCATCATCTCATCTGACCTGTAGTTCTCCATGTGATACGGTGGCTGCTGAGGCTGCTGCATCTGCTGCCTCCTCTTCTTTTTGCGTCCTGGGTAAGTCCCCGGTCCCTCGTCAGCGCTGCTGATTGGCTCAAAGTCCTCAGCAGCGGAGAAGTAGGCCTCGCTGTCGGCCACTGACATGCTAGAGTCGGCAGAGCGGTACTGATGGAAGGTGTTCGAGTCCGCTGATGGCGTGAAGGGAAAGGAGCCGTAGCTTCTACGCTGATGGGGGGAATCCAAGACGTTCTCATCGCTGCGGGAAACCTCGCTGCTGAACTGCACGCCTCCAGACAACACCGGTGGCGGCTTATCTGTGAAAACAGCCGCCGAAAGGCTCTTGGTGCTGCCCAGCCGACCAGAGTGCACAGAGGACTGACGCTTGAGAGGAGAGCAGAGGGGTGAGCGCACTGAGGAGCGGTCCTGGGAGCTGTTGGGTGAGACCGGTGATACTTCTGGGACTTCCCCTAGGGTGCTGCAAAGAAACCGGGGAAAATGCAGCATTCAGGAGGCATGACAGGAAATATATAGAGGGAAAACTTCAACACTTTATATCTAATACATGAACATAACTAGAAGAGTTCAATATTTGGGGTTCAGAATTTTTGGACCACAGTAAATTGCATGAATGTGCTACTCACTCAGCAGGGCTTTTGCCATTCATGGGGAACACGCGTTCCTCTGTGCTTGGCGAGGGGGAATCTCTCTCTCCTGCCAGTAAGGGTAAGGCAGCACTGGAGGAGCTGTTTTCTTCAGAGGAAGAGGCCGAGCTGTGGGATCGTTGGGGCACCTGGAGACTCAGGTGTTGCTGACCATGTCTCTCAGGCAGCTCAGGAGGCAGACAAGGAGAGTGTGTGTCTGTTTTCAGTCCTACCGCCTTCCCTCCTAAATGAGAGGGATTAAAAAATGTATATACATCAACATATTGTTTATCTAAAACACCCTCAGTCATCGAACCTTGGGACAGAAAAGGAAACGCATTCTTCCTGCAGGGTCTTGTTTAGAAGGAGAGACTCCGTTTCGTTTGCTTATGAATTAAAAAGATTGCAATTATTCTTTATTTTTTTTTCTTAAAAGGAGAGTCACTCTTGTTGATAGTAGAAAATAAAGAATAAATCTTACCATCCACTTTGGGCGTTTCCTTTGTAATGATACACTCCCCAGGCTGTAGCAAAGATTGGCCGTAACACATGTCTGACTCGGTGCTGGATGAAGAGAATGCAGATGAGGAGGAGGGCGTCAGATCTTCTAGCTTGAAGAAGTCCAGCCCCATGTTGGTACCTCCAAAGAACCTGCAGCCACCGAGGCAGCCACAGCGGTTCCTGTTTCGCTTGTTCCGAATGCTGGCATCCTCTGGCCACAGGAACCAGAGTCTGAGGAAAAGAGGAGTGAATAAAATAAGAGAAATTGAGTAAATAAGAAAAATAGTTTTGGGGCTCTCTTTCTTAGCTGAAAGAAAAAAAAAAAAAAAGGTTTTCTTTCCCTGCTGTACGCCTGATTTTATCCAGTCATTCATACTGAGACCTTGACAATAAAATGTACCTGTAACATTTACCTACAGTAATAATACACATGCTGGAATATAAGACTGAAAACAAAGCACTTCACTAGCACTGGTTCCTTAACAGATTCTTAATTATTCCATTCAGAATCACAGCAAGTGACCAAAACTCTAGTCTGATATCATGTTTAATGAGTCAGGATACTGTAAATGACGAAATACAATGAACAACATGTAAATGAGTTGAATAGCTTCACAACTGTCTCAGTGACACATTCTAGAGGAGTGTGATTCAAAGTGTGAGTCAGTCCCCCTCTGAAAAGAAATGTCAGCTTTTACATTCTCCAAAACCTGCAATTATTGGTCTCCCATTTATCTCATGGGTGCTAGTGACCGCACTGCTGGAAAGCTGAGATAAAAAAACAAAACAAAACAAATTAAACTTTTTTTCTTTTTTTAAATAGTGGCTTGGAAAACAAAATGCTTAGATTTGTTTTCTTCTACCTTTTGGTTTGAGCATCGTGCAGTTCCAGAAATTGCCTCTGCACTTCACATTTGGCTGGGTGGTCAGCAGCCAGGGCAATATCTGCCGTGATGAGGTTCAGGTTGACTGCACCCGCCTCCAGCCAGACAGAACGTCGCAGCAAAGGTGGCTGACCGAGACCCAACGGCTGACCCGGACCTTGACCCTGTCCAGCCGGCTGCAGCCTGGTCACTTCAGCGTGTTGTTGTTCAATGTACTGCCGGATGTTTACATCCTGCACCACAGCGCTGATGCCCTCGCCCACTGCCTGGTTGTGCAGGTTACAGTTGGCTACACGAATAATGCCCGTCTGGAGGTGGGGAAGAAGAGAGAAAACAGAGAAGATCCTCAAAAAGTATAGAAAAAGAAACATTCTGAAGTTAAACAGTTATAGCTTCAGAGTTTTGGTTTTTTTACGCTCATTACCTTGATACTGGCAGCACAGCCATGCTCGACAATGAAGAGGTCAACTCCATCCATGGCCAGGCGGGTCATGGTGTACTTCAGCTCCTCGGATGTGCGACAGTGACCGGGGAGGCAGCTCAACTGAAAGACAACCATCATTTAGTAGCAGAAACTTTTGAACCTTTACTAAAAGCCAAGCTCCTGTTTAGTGTTAGACTGTGCTTTAAATACTGCTGCACAGCCTGTAGACACAGTGGCTTAGACACTAATGAGGGCTTTTAGGCAGCATTTTCAAAAATATCCTTGTTAGTATTCGTATACAGACAAGACACTTTGTGAGACATATTCCATCATTTTATACATCATGGTGCTGTGTATGTACAGCTGTTCCAAGCAGATAAATAGATACGGGTTAGACTTTTTTCTCAGACTTTGTTTTTCTGTGAGAAAAAGTGCACTTTCTGAGTCATGCATCATTAAAGAAAGGCTCAAAGTGGTCTCAGTTTATTTTCTGGTCTCATTTGAACATTTCATTTCACAAAGGACAGCTCGGACCAGCATTCAAATCTCACAAAAAGCAGCCATCAGCCATAATGATCTAATTTAGCAGCTTCCAGTAAGCAATTCAGACACACGACTGCTAACTAGTTCAAACCAGAGCCTGACAGCAGAGAAAGTGAAAATGTGTTTAGAAATGAGTCTCAAATATCACGCAGTATTTCATTGTATGCTGTCTGGCTGCACCTTGGCATCGCAGATGCGACGATCAACACCGTGCTGGCAGATGACAGAGGGCTTGGGTTGTTCTAGCTGGAACTCCCGGGAGAACACGTGGAAAAGGAAAGTCTTAGCCCACTCAATCATGCTGGCCACCTAAATAATCACCACGAAAAACAGTAACAAGAAAATAAAATAGATACAGTGATTACGGGGGTTTGAAGCATGAAAAACATTAAAGCACAGCACACTCTGACAAGCTTTTAAGTAAAAATTTGCACATTTCTTTAAAATTTGCAAACGCGGGTTTGATTTCTACTGTACTGGTGTTTAATTCCAGTTAATAAAACAGACTCACACACCTGTGGAACAGTGACCCTGCCAGTGAGCCCCCCAGCTTGCATATCAATAAGCCATGCATACTCCAGTGTGTCACTGCCCAGAGGGAGGCCCTGAGCGGAGAACATGGCATGGGCCCTCATCTGTAGGCCAGACAGACTCAGGTGGCCGTCTCTCAACACCCCATCAGCTGTGGGACGCTGTCACAAAAGAAAGGATTTGCACTTACAAAACCAACATAAATTGATATGGCACGATGCTTTTTTTCCCCCTAACGTGTAACCTGTGACAACGTTCTTTAATAAGCCTCCAGATTTTCCGTATTCCAGATTTAAAGAGTGCATATTATCTAGCCAAGGGAGGGAGATGAAGACACATTCTCTGTTGAGGATTAGTGAAAGTTATTAACTCAGCAGCAAATAGGATCTAACACAGCTAAAGATTACAAATTCTGTGCAGTTGCACAATATGCAGCTGCTTATGTAAATATGTGGCTATAGCAAGCGCAATTCACATTATGCAACATCTACAGCAGCTTTTATGGTTTTTGAAGGACTGAATTGCCCTTTCAGCCTAAGTTTTAAAAAAGTCAGTTCGTTTTTTTATTGCTGACTCAATTAAAATGCAAAGCCATATAGTTGCTTGACTTAAGTGGTTTCAAGTAATATCTGAATAAATTCAAGTTAATAGCAAAATTGCACTGAAAATACTACAAAACACAACTGCTGCCAGTTTAAAGGAAAGAGTGAAGAAATGGCAGAATTTGCTTAAGTTAAAGAACTTTGGCCAAATGTGATTAGTATGAGAAAAGTAAATTACACCAGCACCCTGTAGGTCTCAGTTTATTGTCCACATTTGGGTAAACAGCTTTTGAAAAACACCTTCCAGTGTGGAGATTTTCACAAACTCAGTTTCTGCATTTACATGTGGACATGACAAACAAAGACTTACACCTCTCCTTATCTGACATCAGACTGTGCACTGTGTTACTGCTCCATCAGGCTGCCAATAGGCCAACATTTCTTAGGGGTTATATCATCACCTGTTGTTTCCTTGACAGAACTTGACAAAGGTGTTTGGATTTTCATGGGGACAGAAATTCTAAAACTAAAGCTGTATATCTATATTTTTAAAAAAAGAAGAAGAAGAAAACTTAAGGTTATGTATATAACCTCGGTTCTCTGAGTAGCATGAGTGAGTGTCTCACTATGGGGAACGCCTCCTGCGTGACCTCATTAGAAGCTCAAATACCATTACGCCAGCCCTTACAGGCTGGCTAGGTGACGCCCATGTCAGGAGGGGCCAGTGCCTCCCTATATAATAGGCTGACATAGCGTCAGATGTCATTCAAAACAAGCCCACCTCTCCCTCGCTTCCATAGCAAGGAGGGCGGTCTGGTGAGACACTCACTCATGCTACTCAGAGAACCGGGGTTATATACATAACCTTAAGTTCTCTTTCATAGCATTCGTGTCTCACTATGGGAGAAATACTGACTCCCGGATTGCCAGACATGCCTGTTAAGAAGACAACTGTCCCCAACAGCACTTCACAGGGGAGAGGCCCCCACCCGGGAAGAACCTGCACTGAGGACTGAATGTGCTAGGTTAGGTGCTGTCACATCTAACCTGTAAAACCTAGCAAATGTATGAGGTGAGGTCCAGCATGCAGCTGCACACACCTCCTGAATAGAAACTCCCCTAAAGAGAGCCCATGAGGTTGCCAGACCTCTAGTGGAATGCGCACGTAAGCCAGCAGGGGGCTGAAGGCCCCTGCTAGTATAGGCCAGGGCAATTGCTCCTACTATCCAATGGGAGAGGCGCTGTTTAGACACAGGCTTTCCCATATGTGGTTTAGCCCAGGACACGAACAGCTGGTCACTTTGTCTGACACTCTGGGTTCGGTCCATGTAAATGCGCAGGCACGGACTGGACACAAGGTATGCAGCCGCTGTTGCTCCTCTGACTGATGCACTGACAGCGCGTGGATCTCTCCCACACGTTTAGCAGAAGCTAAAGCAATTAAAAGAGCCGTCTTCAAGGACAGAAATTTCAACTCAACCTGTTCCAGGGGTTCAAATGGGCAACAGGAGAGCGCAGCCAATACTGTGGGAAGGTCCCACGATGGAGCCAACGGCCTAGACGTAGGCAATTTACGCCGTGCACCCTTCATGAAACGGCATATTAAGGGATGCTGGCCAACAGTCTTTCCCTCAAAACCAATATGGCAGGCTGAAATTGCTGCCAAATACACCTTGATGGTGGAGAAGGCTTTACCCTTATCAATCAGGGCCTGAAGAAATGACAGAATCACAGCCACAGAGCACTGAAAAGGGATGGCCTGTGATTCTAAGCACCAGCTTTCAAACACACGCCACTTGTGCTCATATAGCGTCCGAGTAGACGATGCTCTAGAACACTGAATAGTGTCGATAACACTATGAGGGAGCCCCACCGTGTTCAGGTTAAACCACTCACGGGCCAAGCCCATAGAGCTAGCCTCTCTGGGTGGGGGTGGAATATTCCCCCTGTGCCTGAGACAGGAGGTCCCTGCGTAGTGGTAACGGCCAAGGAGGGCCGCACAGCTGCTGAAAAATCTCCGCCAGCCAGTGTTTCCCTGGCCAGTGCGGGGCTATCAGGATCATATAGTGACTTCTCTCCCTCACTCTGGCCAGAGTTGGAGAAATGAGGGCCACTGGGGGAAAAGCATAGAGGAGGGTTCTCGGCCACTCGTGAGCTAGAGCATCCACCCCGAGTGGAGCTCTCTGATCGTGCAGCGAGTAAAACAGGGGACACTGAGCATTCTCCCTGGATGCATAAACGTCCACGGTCGCCTGACCGAATCGCAGCCAGATCTGCTTCACCACCTCCGGGTGAAGCTTCCAGTCCCCATACAGCAGGTTGCCCCTGGAGAGAAGATCTGCTCCAAAGTTCAAGATCCCCGGCACGTGAGTTGAGCTGCTCTCAGTGACAGCAGGTGGACACTGCTCCAGACTATCAGTCTGTGTGCCAGTGTGTGTAACTTGGGGGACCCCAGACCCCGCTGTCTGTTGATGTAGGCCACAACGGTGGAATTGTCCAACCTCACTAAGACATGATGACCTCTCAGCCAAGGGAGAAAGTGTTTTAGCGACAGGTGAACCGCCAGCAGTTCCAGACAGTTTATGTGGGCGGAGCGCACGTGAGGGCCCCATTCCCCATTCACTGTTCTGCCCTCGTGGGTGGCCCCCCAGCCGGAAAGAGAGGCATCTGTGGAAATCACCTTCCTGGCTGAAACTGCCCCCATGGCAACGCCCTGAGACAAGAAACCTGGCCTCTTCCACTCGCGGAGAGCGAGTGAACATTCTGCAGAGACTCTCACGCGACGGTGGCCGTCTCGGTGAGGGTCCAGTCCCCGTGAGCCCACCCAGCGCTGAAAGCCTCTCATGTGCAGGCGTCCCAGTGTTATCGCCACTAGAGAAGAAGCCATCAGACCGAGCAGCCTCTGGCACTGTTTGAGGGTCACTGTGTTGCCTCTGCGAAACAGTGCAAGGGATGACTGTATGGCCGCCGTTCTCTCCGGGGACAGAAAAGCCCTCACCCGAAGGGAGTCTAGGCTGAGCCCTATGAAAGTAATGCATTGAGTTGGCGTCAATGTGCTCTTTTCCACGTTTATCTGGAAACCCAAACTCTCCAGATGGTGTATGAGAGCATTTGTGTGACAAGTCGCTCCCTGGCGGGTTGGGGCTGCCACCAGCCAATCATCGATGTACGTGGCCACCCGAATGCCCTTTTTCCTGAGCGGGGCCACTGCTGCCTCGGTGCATTTCACAAACACCCTTGGGCTCAGTGAGAGACCAAAAGGCAGGACTACAAACTCGTATGCCATCCCCTGAAAAGAAAATCTCAGATACTTTCGGTGTGGGGGATATATGGGGATGTGGAAATAAGCATCCCTCAGGTCGATTGGTGTGAACCAGTCGCCCGCTCGTACAAACCGTAGCAGCGAGGCGTGCGTCAACATCCTGAACTTGTATGTCCTCAAATGCCGGTTCAGGGCACGGAGATCCAGAATGGCTCTCATCCCCCTCCC